GGTCTGACCCTCAGCACCACACAAAATTAAAACACTGGGTCCACCTATAAATAAAGAATAAATATTAAAAAAGAAAAGCCCGGCCTCTGGGTCCACTGAGCAGCCAACAGAGCAGAGGGGGAAGGGGCCACTTGAAGGAGATGGCGGAGCTCAGGGGGCAATGGGAAGTGACCAGAGGAACCCTCCTCACAGCACCGGAGTTTTCACCTCAGAGGCGCGAGCGAGTCCTGGGGACCTGGCGCAGCCTGGAGCCCGCTTCCATCCTAACACACGCAGCGTTCCTGGGGCTCCGAGCCGGGGCCTGGCTCGCGGGTAAACGTGCTGCACAGCCACGCAACGGGGAGGAATTCTGAGCCCGAACTTTCCTCAAAAAACACTAATGAAAACCTTCTTAACACGTGGTTTGCCACACAGAAGGGGGTTCTGTCGCTGGCGCTTCAGTCTGTTTGAACCCTGTTATATGAGACGTCCTTCAAATTAACCGAGCTTGAAGACGCACCAGGAGCATGGGCAACGCCACATTTTCTAAAAGCCGTCACTCTACACACGCAGGCACCCCCGACGGACAGGAGGGTGACGGCACAGAGGCCCACAGGCACCTGCCCACACCAGGCAAGGCCCCCGCAACTGGGCGGAGATGGGGGGCCGGGGGCAGGCGTGGCGTCTCGCAGGTTCCAACTCCCACTGGGTTCCACCCTGTGAGGAGCTACCGGCCCTGACGGGACACTAGTGGTGGCAGCCCATGGATGACCACAGCAGGGCGGCCCTCAAAGCAGGACGAGCGCCATCTCAACGTTAGGGTCCAGGGTCCGGAACGTACCCTTTCCCCCGCCAACTCGACGTCACCCCCGGGCACTACTGAGCCTCACAYGGAGCAGTGCCTTTCTTCAGGCCACCTTCATTTTAGAAAGCCCTCTGACAAGGTGTGACCCAGGCGACCCGGTTCACAGGGTCCTAAAAAAAGGCACCCACCCACCTGTCCTGGGAAGTCTCAGAGACACGACTTTTCCATGCAGAGCGGGCAGTGAGTGTGCTGGACAGAGAGGGCATGGCCAGTGATGGACATGGGTGGACAGTGAAGGGCGCAGGCAAAGCCCAAAATGCTGACTCCCATTATAGGCCACACTGCGTGCCTGGGGGAAGCCACACTGYGTGCCTGGGGGAAGCCAATGCCTCAAGGCAGCTACCAGCTGCAAAATGGGCCTGGTGAAAGAGCTATTCTCCTACCCGGGAAGCCCTTAACAGCCACTCAAACATGAGTCATCAGACATGATAAAGGACGGCTAACAGCTGCTTAGTGATGCACTAGCCCGCCTCACTGTACTAAAGGCCACACACGCACTCATGAGTGGCATGTTTTCAAAGGTAAAAAAAAAAAAAAATTTGTGGGGGCAGGTACTGGAGATTGAATTCAGGGGTACTGACCACTGAGCCACATCCCCAGCCCTATTTTGTGTTTTTTTATTTAGAGACAGGGTCTCACTGAGTTGCTTAGCACCTTGCTTTTTGCTTTGAACTCACGGAAGAAAATCTTATTTTTGAAATAAGGTTGTAACACACATGCATTCTAATTTAACTTTTCCCATAATAAAGGAGCAAAACAATAGCAACAAAAACAAACACTACAATGGGCCACCATCCCAGTGAGAACCAGGAGGTCCTGTGAAGATCACAGCAGGCCTAAGTGACACAAAGTGGGAACAAAGGACTGAGGCGTCAGCAGCACCCAGTCCTGACCCCACACAATGGCTGCTCTTAATGATGCTCTAGCACATGCAATTAGGTTGCACAAACAGGCTTGTTGGTGCAGCCACCTTGGTTCTGGACGCTCCTATAATGAGGTCTGAGCAGCTGCGGATACTGAGTGTGAAGCAGAACCCTTTGTGTGCTAGGATCCCAATCTCTGTGACCAAAGGAAGGACAGAAAACCAAAGCCCCAACTTGTCCCATAGTCTCAGGAGTGTCCTGCACCCTCTCGGGCTTGGGCTCTCTATCAGCATACGGATCACCAGGCAGGGGCCAAATCCAATGGAAGGCTGCTGAAAGACTGCTTTTCCAGAATGGCAATCACAGCATGATCATAACCAGCTGGGGCGAAGGGTTGCCAGATTGGCACAGACCTTTCCAGAATGGGGACCTTCTGATATGTGCCATGCACCACAGGATGCACACCTGCCTGTCAAAGGAACCCCTGGTGAGTGTGAAACGGGCACTGGCAACGGGCACACAGAACACTTCTCACCCTGGTGACCCAGATCCCAGTGCTCTTCTGACCCGAGCAACTCTTCCACCCTGGGAGGAAAGGCTTCCTGTAGGAGACCACTAGGACTGGCCATGGAGACCATGAAGCCATCCGATGACCACTGTACTGCGCCTTTCACATGGATCAGGACCTGGCGCAACAACAGTGGTCAGCGCAAGACTGCACCTGGGTGCTCCCACTGCCCCGTGGACATGAGCTGAGGAAGGTGAGCGCTAAAGTTGCAGCAGAGCATGTCTTGGCACAGYGATGGGCAACAAGCGCTCGGAACTGAGATTTCACCAGTGTTCACAATCTTCAGAGTACTCACCCAGTATTAAGTTCTACACACAACTGACGCCGGGGTGTGTGATAGAACAACCCATACACAAAACAGCACCGCTGCCAGGCACCGTGGCACATGCCCAAGATCCCAGCCACGCGGGAGGCTGAGGTAGGAGCAYGGCAAGTTCAAGGCCAGCCTCGGCAATTCAGTGAGACCCTGAATAAAAAATAAAAAAGGGCCGCCAGGGATGTGGCCAGACAACAGCATGGGCCCCCGAGCACAGCGTGACTCGAGGGTCTCTGGGAATGATGGGTGGTAGGGACGCTTTCCTTTGTCTTGACAACTGGCCTTTGGAACTCTCCTCTACCCCCGGCCAGCACCCTACCTGAAGATGCCAGTGAAGTGCTTCCTGTCCAGGCAACTGCCAGGCAGGCCCCAGCATTCTGGGGTGCTGTGGCCTTCAGGTCTGCATCCCCCAAAACTGTCATGCTAGAACCCTGGCCCCAGCGTGGGGGCCGGCAGTGGGCCTCTGGGAGGTGGTCAGGGCTTGAGGGTGGAGCCCTCGTGGGTGGRAGGAGTGTGCAAGTGGGGATGGCAGCGAGCTTGCCACCTCTCACTGCTCTCTGTGAGGACACTAGAGGGCCACCTACAAGCCAGAAAGAGAGCCCTCCCCTGCCCCAGATCAGCCGCACCTCCACCTCGGACGTCCAGCTTCCAGACCTGAGAGAGATCTTTGTGGTTTCAGACCTCAGTCCATGGTCATCTGCTACAGCAGCCAGAATGGACCAAGACACGGTGTTTGGTGGGGAAGCCCTGTCATCTCACTGTTCCCTGGAATTAACTTTATGATACTTAAGGAAATCAAGGAAAATTCACATTGATAACCACAATAAACGTAAGAAGTGATCATAGGAGAGAATAAACTGACCCACAAGTCAGCTCTGATCACCTGCGCCAGGGACCAGACCTGCAGAAGGTCTGCTGCACCACTTGGCGCTCTGTTGCAGGCCGAGGGGGCTGAGCCCACCAAGCCTGCTGAGCCCCAGATGGGCATGGCTGCGCATCAAGAAAGCCCACGCAGAGTGGCCAGCCAGGCGCAGCTCTGGGCTCTTCCTCTCCACACACCACATGAGCTCAGACAGTAACCAAACCCTGTCGGAGACACCTCTCGGGAGCCCAGSACTCCCTTGGTGGTTCTTCCCAGTCCTCTAAGGTTCGTGGAGCCGCAAACACCAAGTGACTTGGGGCTGTGAGGGCTTCACACAAAGGCTGCGGCCCACAGGACACATTCCTGGCAGGGCCGGCTGCAGAGTGGGCAGGGGAGGACAGTGGGACCCCAGGGGCTCTGAGCTCCTTCTCAGGGGAGTCCAGCTTCTTCAGAATGGGCACTGGGAGAGGTGATGAGGAACAGTGAGCCAGGAAGGGTGCAATGGGACCAAGGTGCTAAAAAGGAGGTGAGAGGCGGAGCTGGAGAGGAGCCTGGCTGCAATGAGTGTGTGTGTRTGTGTRTWKKGGGGGGGGGCACGAAGCTGAGGCGCTGCCTTGCTGCAGCAGGGAAGTGTGGCACTCCTTCGGCTCACCCGCAACGGAGCTGGAGAGCCGAGCAGGCCCGGAAGCCCACTCTGGGGCCAGAGGACCAGTGCAGACACTGTGCCAGTGCTGACAGGGTCAACAGGCCCCGATRACCTCTGCACAGCCCAGGAGGCCCTCAAGGGTCCAGGCCTGGCTGGCCCACTCTGTGACAATCCCGTCACACCAGAACAGGGGGTACAGACATGTTTCTGCCTCTGTAGGTTTAAACCAGGAGTGGGGGGCCCAGGACTGAAATGGAACCCCGGCCCAGGGCACCCTCCTCAAGACCGTAACTCCATGAGAACCTTCCCCAGACCTTCTGACCCCAGAGCCGGAGACCACCCCATGTCACACTCCAGCTCATAACTGACACCTGGCACCCCCTTGTGCACATGAGTGTGACCCCTGGGAGAACCCAAAGCTCCTCTGGGATATTCCCATCTGACTTGTGGCTGCCCCTGCAAGTGGGAGATCAAAAATCAAATGCAATGGCGTCCACGGGTCTAAGTGCTGGACCTYGGGCAGGCCCTGAGTGGCCCAAACCTGACTCTTCTCTCAGCTTAGGTTTCTGAAAGCCCAATTTAAGCCCTTCCCTAAAGACAGGCCTGGAGGCACAAGGAGCGCTCACAGGGGAAATCGGCCCGTYGCAGGCTGACGGAGCCCGGGAACTGCTACCAGCCAGCAGAGGTTYGCCCACCCAGGAGGGCGAGAAGGCGACACAGAACCCACCCCAGGGCCGTCTTCAGGCAGGTGACTTCCTCTTGCTCCTGAGCACACCACTGACAGCGGAACAGAAGGGCAGTCTCCTCTGTCCCCTTGCTGGGCCTGTCACCACTGATGGGCACAGCCTGTTCTGGAGTGGCACCTGGGTCGCAGAGCTACCAGAGTCTCGGTGGCACTTACCGTCCTGAAAGACCCGCTCCACGTTGAGCCCGTAGGTGGCACACGTCTCGTAGTATGTGCACCTCTTGAGGTCGTTGGAGAGCTTCCGCGCTCTGGCGTCATCGATGACCCGCGGGTTCGTGGAACTGATGGCATCTGGAACAGAAGACCAGAGAGTGACAGCACAGTGACAATGTACACGGATGGTGGCGGGTCTGTGACTTCAGGTGCCCGCATGGCTCAAAGCACACCGACCAAGAACCTGCGTTTTGAAAACAGTTTACCCCAAAGTATCAGCTCGAACCCCAGCGCGCCCGTCACCCTGGCTAGGAGCTGGTGCTACAGGAGAGCTGCTATGCGGGAACAGAACCGCGGGAACAGAACCGCGGGAACAGAACCGCAGGAACAGAACCCGGTCCAGAACGGCAGGAGGTAGGTGCAAGAAGGACGAACAGCTCCAGAGGAACACACCGAGGACCCAGAGGCCATGTCACCTTCCATGTGACAGCGTCCACGAACAATGCTCCTGCTCCGGGGGTGGCCCTTCGACCACTCTCCCACTGGGTCAGTGTCCACTGGCCCCTGCTAGGTGCCTGGACCTGCTCTACCATGGAGACTCTGTGTGTTCACGCAGCAACATTCTAGATGGCCAGAAGCAGGGATGACTAGGGGTGTAATGGCTGCCGTGGGGGCCACCTGAGGCCACCTGAGGCAGTTCAGGAGCCCCTGGGGTTGGTTGGTTGGTTTAATTCTTTTTAGTTGTTGAGGAACCTTTGTTTTATTTATCTGTGGTGCTGAAAATCGAACCCATGCCTCACACGAGCTAGGCAAGTGCTCGGCCACCGAGCCACAGCCCAGCCCAGCCCTGTGATTCTAATGAAGCCACTAGGAAGGCACACCTGGCGGAGGCGGGTGCCCGACACCCGTGGAGGGAGAGCACCCACACGCCCAGGGAGGTGCGGGGTGGGGGCGGAGGGGGGCAGCAGGGCCTGCGGGCTGCCTTGAGGTCTGGCTCTCAGGCTCGGAAGTGGGGAGCAATGTAAGGTGGTGTGAGCCACTCAGGGTCACAGAGAGTTGGAGGGTACCTGYGGCATCAGCTCCTGGGGGATTTGGGGTGGGGGCTGAGCAGCAAACAGAGCTGTCGGCTCCAGCGCCCCCTCTCCTAAGAAACACCTGTTTTCTTCATCCCTGCCATCACGCCTGGCACCCAGCAGGGTCCGCATGCTCCGGGCCCCTGAGTGCGCATAGAGGTGACTCCTCTGTGTCAGAGACAGTTAGGTAACCTGCACTTTTTYGGGGGTTGCATGCTCTTATGCTAAGGAAAGCAACTGAGCACTCTATGCAAAGCCACCAGGGGGTTGTCAACCAGCAGAGCAACCACAGCACAAGCCCTACCAAAGCTGGAGTCCTGTCTGCTTGGTGTGGAAAGTGCATGTGAAGTGTTAAGAACAAGACATGGAGAGGAAGCAGGTCATCCATTTCCCCCCTCTCTCTCCTTTGTCCCTATTTTACTCTTTAGTCCTGTGGAATAAGTTTGACCTGACCTTGGTAGGTAAACACCAGAGCATGAGTCAGGACGAGGCTCAACAGAGCCGCTCCCTGACATTCCCCAGGTGTTGGGCGTGGAGTAACAGGACACCTCCACCTATCTTCTTGTCTTATAGACTAGAAAATTTGACTTGCATTGCACAATGTGTAAGGAAAATGGGGGGAAAGTTAGAAACTGCAACTTGAGGTGAGGTCCCAGAGCACCCATCCAGGATCCCATGCTGGGCCCCAGCATTCCACAGCCCCTAGTCCTGGGTGAAGGACCGGCTCCACCTCCCTGTCACCTGCCCATACAGGTGCACCAAGCCCACCTGTGACCTCTCGACCACACTCCACGGCTGGTTCTCATTCCACTTTAACCCTGCAGCTTTGCACAGACCTGGCTCCCTCCTCCTGTCCATCTAATCAGCAAGCCTTTAAAACACGTTCTGCTTAACAAGCATCCGGCAGCCCTGACTCAGCCACGGCCCCATGCACACACAGTTCCTCACCTCCCATGCCCAGTGCCCGTCCCCCTGGACCTCCCAGACCTCGCAGCCTGGGCCAATGAGCAGAGTTCTTCCTGGGTTCCTTCCCCGCCCGGAATCCCCACCTCTGAAGCCACCTACCCCAACCTGCAGGGCGGAAGCTTCGGGCCCTCGTGCACCACCTTTCCCGTTTGGTCTCTTGCACAGCACTGCGAATGCACAGGCCTCAGAGACTGGGGTGCACAGCAGCCTTGGGAGCCCGCGCTCGCCCCAGCCTCTTTCACCCAGGCCCCAGGTGCTGGCCATTGGTGAGGTGGGTGAAGAAGCAGAGGGCCTTAGGTGAGCCACGGCCCTAACTTTTCTGTACATCTGGGGTGTGGCTGGGCTAAGGAGAACAGAGCTAAAGTGTGACAGGAGCCTCTTGAGTGCCCAAGCTCCACTCCAGAGGGTCACCCCTGACAAGGCTCCTCAGCTCGGTGCCCACCTGTGGCTTCAAGCCCAGGACGTCTGCTTCATGAGAGCTGCTTCAGTCTCTGGTGGCTGTCTTCAGCCACCTCCTCGAACCCAGATGACCTGGGTGAGGCACAGATGATCCCTTCTCAGCTAGGGAAGGCAGCTCAGAGGAACAGACTTATCCCCAGGCATAGGGGCAGAGAGGGATGAGCTTCTGCMAGCCCAAGCAGGGCCCCACTAAGCCAGCCGTACGTTGAAATACAAGGAACAGCAGCAGCCACTGTCAGACACTCATCATGTGCCCACTGGCACACCGAGTGCCCTCCATGAATTCCTGTCTACCCTTCCAGAGCCCTGACAAGCCGTGTTTCAGGCCACTGGGTCATGGCAGATCATGCTGAAGGGTGTGTGTCCCCAAAACCTGCGTCTCACTTCACTCTATTTCACTCCACCAGCAGAAACACTGGTTTGTGTGCAAAGGACACAYRCCCCGACTCCGAGCCTTCCAGCCCMGCCTGGGAACCTACGTGCCTCAAACCTGCAGCCAGGAGGCAGCTGAGTCCTAAACCCAAGCCTCCCCAAACTGAGTGGCCTCCAGTGACTGCTCAGACACACCATGGCGAGCCTCGGGAGCAGCTCSTCTCCTCCCCTGCCAGGTAGCTTTACGCAGAGCCTCCTTGAAACGGGCACCACTTCACCCAGGTCAGGACCTCGGAYATGCCAGCACTGCACGCCGTCATCCCTCGGTGGCCACCGGCTAGGTTCCCGGACCTCCCAGGACGCCAACACTCACCRGTGCCCTGGGCCTTCACCGACACAGCGCAGCACCCRTGCAGAGCCCAGGCACCCTCCCGCRTGCCTCTGGTCGTCCCTGGAGAACTCGAGGTGCCCAAAGAACTCGTGAGTGCCACAGAAACAGCTGCTACACTGAGGGGTTGAGGGCACAGTGACAAGGTAAGTCTGCAYGTGTCCAGGACAGATGACATTTCAAAAAAATAACTTCAATCCACAGTTGGTTGAGTCGTGGATTTGGAACCCAGAGAGGGATGAGCAGCTGCTAAGAACCCAGAGCTGCGGAAGGCACAGGCGGGGAGGCCCAGACAGCAGAGGGAGACCCCTGGGACACAGRAAGGGGCCAAGTGGGAGGGGGCCTGGGGACAGGGAAGGTGCTRGGCTGTAAGAGTGACCCAACTCTGCTAGATGCATGGGCGGCTATGCCACAGTGACRCCCACACACCAATAAAAACAGAACCCAGGGCTTCTTCCAGGCGTGTCCTTGTCTCCCAGGGACCACTAGAGGGTGCTGCAGGCATGAAGAAGCTCTTCCATCTGGTTTTAGGCCYAAACAGCCTCTTGCTCTGAAGGTTTCACTAATGAGCCCTCTGGCCATTACAAGTGCCAACTCTGACCTTTCTCACGAGCACCCTGAGAAGTGCCCTGGGCTTAGGGCACGACACTCCAGCCACTCACATGCCCTTCACCGTGACCTGGCGAGAAGACGTGGGTCGGGGCACTGCTGAGCTCGCTCTCACACCTCACCCAGGGAAGCACACAGCATGTTCCTGAACGGTCACACTGGTGCTGCCCAACTGGAGCCYGACATCGGTGCGTGAAGGCACATGTACCCGCTGGTTCCAAAGGCACTGCCAACAGCAGGCCACACACCACAAAGGAAGGGGATTCGAGCCACTTGGCGTGAGCACTTTTAAAATCCCCTGTTGTGTCTGACAAAGCTGTTTAGAGTGAGCTTCATCTAATGGGTAAAAAGAAGCCACGGGCCGCCTCACTCGGACCCCAGAGCAACACAGCGTCTGTGATCAGGAGCAAGGGCGCCGTGTGTGAGTCCACGCAAYGGCCCCTTCTCCAAGAGACTAAGGACATAAGCAGCAGGCCCCCAGTGGCCCCACACTGCAGGACCACAAGGTGTCAAAAACAAGACGCAGACCATGGGACACTGGTAGCCAGGTGTCAGAAGTCAAGTATCACTTTRAAGGTGCRCTGAGAGCCAAAACRGGCTTGTTTTTATAAGGTAGGGTCTGCTTATAAATTAATTTATACAACAAGGAATTAAAATATAATATAGAAGGCAAGATAAAACGGATGTTTTCTAAAGCACTCAGGATGTGTGTACGTGATGAGTGTGTTGCYTATGTTGTGTGTAGTATAGATCCATGTTCTGTGTAGTATGTCTGTTCTCTGCATGTGATGTGTGCTTCTCTGGGTTACAGGTATATCTGTTGTGTCTAGCRTGTGTTGTACATATATCTGTGCTGMGTGAACGTCGTATGCTTTGTGTGTGYTGTAGGCCCATGCGGGGCACACACTCTGGGTCCCCACCTGCGTTGTACGTGCTGTTTATGTACCAGTATGGATGGGTTGTATGTCAACTGTGTGGCTGTATTGTGTATTTTGGGTACGTCCGTGTTGCACGCTGTGTCTATATCTATATAATCTGTGTGCACTGTATGTCATGTGTGTGTGCATAGGCGTGTTGCGTGTGTGTCTATACTGTGGGTATGCTGTGTATCTGTGTTGTACATGTAGATGTGCTGTGTGTACATCTGGGATGTGTGTTGTCTGTGTGTTGTTCCTCTGAGCCTGCTGACAAGCGTCTCCACAGAATCACATCAGGAGCGACAGGTGCACATCAGGGGACCTGCGTGCACTCAGTCCCAGCGCCCTTTCCTCCTCGGCCCACTTTCAGAGCCCTGCACACCACATGGCAGGTGTAAGCCAGGGAACCTCGGCTAGCCGTGCGGGGCACTCACCCTGGGTCCCCACCAGCACGAGCGGCACCTCGCTGGTGTTGCGGTAGTTGGCCATCCGGCTGTAGTAGTGGTACACGGTCTGGAAACTGATCTCGTCCTCCAGGCTGAAGACAAATATGACAGCGTCCACCCACATAGCGAACTGCGGAGAGAGCGGGTGAGAGCAGGAGCTGGGGGGCTCGTGAGRGGAGAGGGCGCGCAGCGCTGGGCCGTCCAGAGCCCAGGGGCAGGCCTGGAACYGCAGGACGTCCGGATGCCTGGGGTGACTTCATCATTAGGCACCTCTTCGTCCTTCTAAGTGCAGAGCCTCCCTGCTTCCCCAGGAGTGGGACCCTGGTCCTCTTCCCACCAGACCCCACGTGGGACACAACTGCACCACCGCCCCGTGGATTCCAAGGCCTGGATGCCCATCCTCTGCCCGGCCCAGCAAGTGCAGCCCTGCACTTGGATGACTAGACCACCTGCCTGGCCTCCTGGGCCTGGAGATGGGCACCGAGGGTGGCCCCAGGCTGTGTCCTGCACTGGCTCTCCTCTTCAGTCCCTCCAGGGCACCTGGATAGGCTGCCGCGCTGAGAGGGAGCGCCTCCTCCAGCCCACGGCATGCCCAGGAGTCCCCCAGCGCCCCACTGCCCACACCAGCCACCCATCTATCAGGAAGGGCCTTCATGTGGTGAAGGTCTGCTGCGACCAACTCGGCCAGCACCCTCTAAGTTAACCATTACACATCTGTGAGAAGCCCTCGGCTAGCAATCGCCAGGGAGGGACCCACGGCTCCCTTTCACCCTGGTTTTTCCTGCATTCAGCTGATACTTGATACTCCCCTAATGGAGATCTTTACTTAATCCTGGAGAAAGCGTCTTGTTCTCGGGGAAACTTCAACCCCTTCCTAGTCGGAGGCCAAGGAGACCTCCCGGGGGTCCTAGCCCTACCCCAGCTTGGTGGGGCTGCAGGAAGCCCCGGGTACACACCTCAACCCCACATCCTGGCCCCAGCCTGGGGGCCCCCAGCTGGCCTCAGTGATTCCAGGATACCACCGTGAGGAGTGCAGGCACCCCAGGTGACAAGGTGACAGTGAGCCTGCAGAGGCACAAGAGGAAACAGAGAAGGCAGCGGCTTGTGCCATCGTCTCCACTGCTTCCCTTAAAGCAATTCCTCAGCTGACTGTGTGACTGAGGAAGGAGACTACTGTTACAACAAATGGCATTCTAAACTACATAAAAGATGCATTTTCCAAGGAGGTTGGAGCAAAGACCTCTCAGGAAAAATTCCACTTGAGACAAAATGCTGGGATTTCTCCGGCTTGCAGGGGGTCGGGGGACATGGAAGCAACAGGCGTGGGCTTCAGAATAAAAGCACAGGAGAAAAAGGCTTCTATTTTTATTTTGGACTTTGGTGTAGGGATTGAACCCAGGACCTTGGGAGTGCCAAGACACACTCCACCCTGAGCTACACACTCCACCCTGAGCTACACCCCCGGCCCCTCAGGAGCTTCTTAGGGAAAAGGCATCCCCAGTAATAGGTGCTGTGGCTCACTCCACACTGGGCCAGTGCACCCAGGACCTGGCTAGCGCACCCTCCCAGTGTGGCCTGGCCTAGGGCACTTGGTGCAGCCGGGGAGCTTCCGAGTCTGGCTCTGCTGACTTCTCTGGATAGCTCGGCACACCCTGAGGCCACTAAGCCAGCGCTTCTGCAGCGTTCCTGTAATTTCTTCAGGGTTTCACACACTGCTAAGGTTGGTTCTCTAAGAACATTCATGTTCTGGGAAAAGCAGGACATGAACCCAGAGACTTCCACACTCCACCTGCCATTTTCTCCCACGTACCAGCTGCTGGAGGCAGCCTGCATCAAGGACAAAGTCCGGTCCTGCATGTAAGCTTCAGGATGGCTCTGGCCGCAGCCACACGGGCCAGCCACTGATGATCCCTAAACAGGCACTCAACCTGGCTGCGCCCAGCCTCCTGCACCTTCAGCACGTGTTCAAGACGTTCCCTCACTGTCACGGAGCACTCACTCATGCTAAGGTGGCAAACTTCATTTTTAACCTCTGTGGTCCGATTGTGCCTTATTATTGCAGTTTCATAGTTTAACTGGCAGCACTCTCTTTCAACATGGATGCACCCCACAATCACTGGTGTCCAGGGCTGATGGGACAGGGTAACCATGACATTTCCTCAGCATCCTCACAGTGTTCCCTGCGTGAGGTCCTAGACCTTCAACCACCCCCATGTCCAACATCTCTCACTTTAACCATCCTTATAACTCTATGTTCAGCTTCTCAAGGAGGTAAGTTCAAGATGTCCGAAGGGGGCATCCGTGGTCACTGGCTGTTACTAGCTCTTGCCTCCTTTCCAGCATTTACTAGCAAAATTACGAGGTGGGCAGAACAACACGTGGACAAGGAAACCCAAGAAAGAAGCTTTCCATGCTCTTGCCACTTTGCTCCCAGGATTCCCATCTTTCTAGGAATTTAAAAAAAAAAAAAATCACAATATGCTGCAGACCAGTTTTTAGGGGAGACTTGTGTTGGCCAAGAGCCGGAGACCCCAACTCCCGAGGTTTACCAGCAGCAGAAAGAAGACTGGCTCCAAGTCTACCCAAATGACTTCCTACACGACCTCAGTGCCCTGGAGATCAAACCAGTTAACAGGAAAAAAAGAAATAAATAAACCACAGGAACTTCCAGCTGCTATTTCAACCAAATTGAGAAATCAGTGCAGATTTTGCTTTTCCTTCCTTCCTAAAAATACAGAATGTGAAAAAAATGGCCCCACAGACTGACTTTTGTGGGTTTCGATGTCTCTCTTTTGGAACGGCATGACTCATTTCTAGAATAGCTTGTCGAATCAGAACCGTAGAAAGCAGAAGGCAGAACTGGTTTCGGAGCGCATGCAGTACTCACCTGTGCCTCTGGGGGGCCCCCTTCATCTCTAATCAGCAGCAGATAGCTTTGTCCATCAACGACAATCTCTTTCTTGAACCTGCCACCTGCCACACACAGAACACCACGTTATAGAGGAAAACAGGGCGGGAGGAGGGCAGACAGACGTGGGCTTCGCTTGTGGAAAAATACACCCTCGGCAGCGGCCTGGGGGCAACTAGCTCTGAGTATCTAGGACTGGATTTCGGAGGTCTCCCACAACCACTGAATTTTAGAACCGAACCCAGATTTTAAAATGTGTCTTTAAGAACCCAAGCACTGTTTGAAGGCACCGTGCCAGGCCAGGCACTCTGGCTGAGAAGCGTGGGATTTTTTTGTAGTCTTTATATGTAAATTCAGAAATTCTCTCTCACTGGGAAACAGAGAACACCAAAATCGTCATTCTCTTGTTGGGTTCACAAGACAGACAAATTTTTCATGCTTGACAGCTGCCTCGTSCACAAAGTACCGCTAAGTCCAGGGCTGAGAACTTGCATTCTCCTCAAGGGAAACCCAGTTTTTGAGAGGAAACACAGAACATCATGAGTGGGGTCTCCGCGCTCAGAGTCACATCGAGGGAAGGACGCTGGACTAGCACACACGGGTTAGACAGAACTACCGACGGGCCTCCGTGCGGCCGGGACAGTGGTGCAGCGGGCTGACAAGAGGCGTTAGAGACCACGCTGGGTTAGCGAGACCACCAGGGACCCTGCCGGGGCAYGGGGGACGGGAGGGAGCAGGTTGCCGGGGCTGCCCTGCACACCCAGGCGGCCTGGACCACAGGCCTCCACAGAAGGCCACTCCTGGCTTCCTCCGCCACACCAAAGACAAATGGCTTTCGAGATTCGGGGCTGAGTCCACCGAGTCGCCCTCACGGGGACCCTCCATTCCTGTCTGAGAAAGYAGCACCTCACGTCCCGCCTCTCACTGTCAACTCCTCTAGGAAGACACYTTCAGAACACCACGGGAGCCAGACAACCCAACTCTCCAGGACGACACTGCCAGGCCTCCCCACCGGCCCAGCGACTGTGTGCAGGCCTGTGCCTCCCAGAGTCACCGCCGGTGCCTCCCTTCACCAGGCACCTTCCACCTAGAATCCCAGGTCTGGGCCACGTCACTGCCCAYGAGGCTGAACAGAGTTCCTGCCCCAACCCCAACAAGTGTCCAGGGCCCTCCAGAGGGAGGCTGCCACCTGAGGCCGGGGCTCACTGACCTTCTTACCCAAGCTTGCCAGGTGGCCTGTACCTGCACACACAYGAGGTTACTCTCCCCACACCTGTCCAGCCCTCCAGGGAACACTGCTTGCTTTGCCGAGTTTGCTCACCTCCAGCTCTGCAGCCAAGGCTCACGCTGCTGCAGAGAGAAGTGGGGTCCAAGAAGAGGGCTAGGCAGACGCACTAGGTGAGGGCCGCAGCAGGGACAGCTGGGAAGGACACTGCGCCCAGACAAGTCCTCCACCGACCCTTCCCAGCTGCAAGAACACCTGAAAGTGACCTAAGGTCCTGAATCCTGGGTTCTTCCTGGGTTAAGAGGAGGACAACACCCTTCCACAGTAGGGCTGTGTCCCCTTGGACACACCAGACACCCCCTAGGTGTGACGGCCGTCTGAGGTCAAGCCCACACACTCCAACGCTCTGTCCGCACCCTGGGGCTGCCCCCCACCAGCTGAGTGGCCTGGCCTTTCTCATCCCCCTCTCTTCACCTTGCTCTACCTGGGAGGGGTGGGGGGCTGAGTAAGTGGTCAAGGAAACCCTGATGGGCAGGGTGCCCAGACCATGGGAGCAGCCCTGGCAAGGCAATGTCCTYCACCATGTCAGCCAAGGTCACTGTGTCCTCTCATAAAAGACAAACCCAACACAGTGACCCTGGTTTCCGGAGGACTTCCAGCAGAGGCCAAGAAGGCAAAAGTTTAACTTGCTAAACAAGAGAGGTCGGGCACCTGCTTCTTCCTGGTGAGATGGGCCRAGTTCAACCTTTCAAGAACAATGACATTTGAAAAGCCAATCTGCCTCTGTCTCCTTGGGAAAACCTCCTCCTTCACACCAAGACTCTGGAGACCCAGTTAGTCCCACTGGCCGGGGTCAGGGGAGGCAAACAGGGTCAGTGCAAGAGTTTACACACCTTCCCTACAACTCTGAGTTCTAACTGTGGGCACCCGAGTGTGGGCACAGCCATGGTGAGCCTGCCTGAGGCAATCTAGCCTTAAACCGTGGATCCCACATGGATTTCCAAAGTCCTCTGATCCCAGGAAGATGTTTGTGCTTGAAGCTATTTAAGCGATTTCAAGGCAAAACCTTAGAACTCGTCTGGGGTTGCTGGGTCCCCCAGGGGACACTCTGCCTACATCCTTCCCACAGCACACTTCCTGGAAGTTGAGAAGCTGAGCAAAGCTAGGGATCCTGGTGGCCAGGGCTGAGCTTCCAAGGCCTCAGGCTGGCCTGTCCTCGGTGCTCCAGAAATGCCCTAAGAGCTGGGCAACCGTGCCAGGCCCTCCAAGTGCTGTAGCCATTCAGACCAATGCTGATCACTCTGACCCACGGGCAGCATGACATCCTGCCATGCCACCATCACCCTCCAAGCACAGGTTGAAGTCTTGGACTCCCTGGCCTCGATATGACATTCGGAGGTCACACTGGCATAAGGTGGTCTAACACAACATGGGGAATGTGGGGACACACACGATGGATGCCACAAGAAGACAAAAGCAGAGATTTCCAAGCCCAGGAAACCACCAGAAGCTGGAGAGASGTGGGGACAGGTTCTCCCTCACAGCCTCAGGGAACCAGAACTGAGCCAGCACACCTCTGTTGTCAAGCCGTCGGCGTGCGGCACCTGCCTGCTGCAGACCGTGCAGACTAACGTGATCTTGCTACCAAGTGCCCTCCTCTATGCACTGGCCTGTGCATGGACACACGCGGTGTCTTCCCCAGCTGCGTAGGCCGTGGCTCCAAATCAGCACTGCAGCCTGACCTTGCACCTGAGCTTCAGCGCAGAGGGACCCTCCTGGTCAGCAACATCACACTCCAGTGTTTGCAGAGACCTCATCTCAATCTTGACTGGCCGCCCCAACCTCTGGTCAAGGTGCACACACCATGGGGACGCCATCTGTCTACAAGCCACCAGGCTGTGCCCAGGGAACATGGGTGTCTGTCCMCCCACCCACAAGCACAAAGTCCCAAAGCAGAGAACAGAGGCCACAAAGAACAAAAAGGAGAGTGGACATGCAGGAGTGGGGAGAAGCCTGGCCAAAGGGGCGGTCAGAGAGGGGCTGTAGACTGGAGAGGGCCGAGCAGGGTGGCCACAGGGCTGGGGGAGGACGGCCTGGAGGACGAAGCCAGCAGGTACCTCATCCCTGACTTGCTCTGCATCAGCAATCCCTAGGGTGCCAGCACCAGGGCTCAGGAGTCATCCCGCCTGCCCTGCCYGGAGGAGATGGACAGCTCTGGAGACCCACTGGACTGCCTGAGCCTCCGTGTCCTCTGGGCTTTCCTTCACGGGCGGGCAAGCAAGGAAACGYGCTCAGAACCTGCGGAGGACCCAGCAGCGGGGGGTCAGCCAGATCTCCATGCAGAATCCCTCCCCATCCCTGCTCAGCCCTCAACATCCAGCCTCCAGACCTCTGCAAACCTCCACTGTGGCCTCACATTCACAGAACAGCCTGTGCTCCTCAGCTGGGTTTCTGCACAAGCTTCCTCCTGCCGGCTGCCAGCCTCAGTGCCCCTCTAGACACTGCACATCCAGARAGTCCCACCACAGCCCTGTCCTGAGCCCAGCCCACACCCCTCCTCACCYCAGGGCTCAGCCTCCCTGTGYAGCCCCAGCTGGCCCCACSCTCCCAGCTSCTCCCCAAACATCAGGACATGTGGGCCCCCTGCTAGATCCACCCTCCACCCGGCTTAGCCATCTTGCCTTGCTCAGGCTGACCTCACTGACTAGGTGGCCTCCAAAGCAAAAGGAGGGGAATGGAGTCTGTCCCTGGGGACAATGACATTCCCTGCAATGGCAGCAGCCCCAAGGCCTTCAGCACACCTCAGCCACCTCCCTGGGGAGCAGGACCACTGGGCATCAGTGTCCAGCTCTTGCAGGGTGCCAGGATGACGCTCCTCCCCACAGGCACATCGGCACTGCCCATGTCTTCAGGTGCCAGGTGAGCGGTACTCCTGGGTGCTGGGTGATCAGTACTTCTAGGTGCCCAGCCTCAGCCAGAAAAGGCTCCCAGGAGGTGCGGAGCTCCCTCCTGAACTCGGCCATGGCTCTGGCTTGGCAACCCCAGGTGAAGGGCTGCAGACCCAACTTCCAGCACCTCCACAAGGAGGGGACTCTGCCCCCATCCAGAAGGCCTCTTCCTGCTCTGAAGTCACTTCCCCCGCCCCCTGAAACAGCATGATTCATCTTTCATTTCACCAAACGCTCAGGCACCCAGACTGGGGGGCTGAGAACATGACGCAGGGGTGCTCCCGACACAAGCAGGCTCCGCTAGAGTCCATGCTGGGACCTGGAGAGGCAGACCACAGGGAGCGGGTGCTGGGGGTCAGGTGACAAGTCAGGCTTTGATTCTGTCTTCTCCAGCTTCCCTGAAGGAAAATCCTTGGAGTGAGAGTATCCTTGGTGGCAGGCTGGTCCTTGCAGGTCCTGTTGCCCTTGGTGTGGCCGAGTATCCCTTATCCAAGATGCTGGGGACCACAGTTGCTTCAGAGCCTTCAYCAGCTGATCATCCCTAATCCGAAAATCTGAAATGATCCCAAATCTGAAACTATTTGAGTATCACATTAGTTCTCCAAATGTTTTGGATTTTGGAGCATTTTGGATTCCAGATTTTTGAATCACAAATGTTCAAACTGTATTTTAAATTCAAACCTGCCTTCTCATCTCAGTCATTAGATATTTTCCTACCTGAATTTTAGGGAACATACCCAAACTCCATATCCAAGTTCACTTTTTAATGTAGATTTTTAAAATTTGATATTCAATTTTCCAGAAGGTCCTCCCAGTTATCACACCAYCTTGCCACGGCCCATGCTATAGACTTGTTGCACGAGGGACAGTCAATCTTCTCTGCCTGCCCATT